CATTTCCTCTTAAATACTTGATCTCAAATAAGAATGGAAAGCGGGGGAGGGAGACAAAGAAAATAAATAATTTGATGATCTTGTATCTCAGCTTGCCTTCCTTTATTCCAAGAGCATGTCTGCTGCTCTGAGCAGTTTTCAACCTCTTTGGTGGTAATAGTAGATATTTAGAGAACATGATGGAAGTATTGGTTTCTGCCAAGATTATGAGGATGTTCATAGTTCACTTGCCTAACCCATTTAGATGGTGTGCAGGTAAGTGGTAATAATGTTTCATTATATACTAATTTCCACCTTTCATCTGAGAACTCCGCAGTCCATTACAAACATTTTGCCTTGCAACATCTCTATGAAGTATGGAGGTGAGTAATACTATTGCCCCCACTTCAGAGCTATAGGAACTGAGTCACAAAGAGATCACAAAGAATTATTCAAGGTCATGTGTCCTCAGCATGGAGTAGAACCTGAAACAAGTGCAGTACTTCTGCCTTATCATCATTTGTAATGAGCTGCCTCAAGCTTCCCCTCAGTCCTTTTTTCAAAAATCTGATAATGGTAGAGTACTTGAGATCTTCAGTTATGGAACTTTACAGAACTAAACTCAAGATTTCACTTTTATTGTTAATTATCCTAATTTGCACTAAGGCATAAACCATGGACAATACTGGAGTAAGCAAAGGTGTGATATGCCTAAAAGGAATTACCTGACTCAAGGTGGTGATGTGAAGTTTAATTGAATTACTTAATGTTTGTAAAACATTTAGCAACCCTTTAGTTAGATTAAAGGGTCTAACACAAAGATACAGAACCTCCCCATGAATTGCTGAAGAAAAGAGCTGGCTAACGGCTATCTCTACCTATCAGAGGCATTGCCCTCCATTTTCCCTGACTGGTACTGGGCTCTGACCTGCTTTGAGGTGGCTTGGGGTGGCCCATATGTGCACAGTCAGAAAAGGCCCCTCCCCTTGCTTTTTGCTATTTCCAAAAATAAAAATAAAAAGCTCCTCTCTCGAGGTAAGGCAGATTTCTTTTTGTGAAGCTTACCTAATTTGGCAACTACTATGACAATTTCAGGTAATTAAAAACAATCCATGTTTTAAAAAGCCAAAAGAGTAAATTCCCAGGCCGAAACTTCATGCCAGTGTACTTAATTCTGAGAAGTTTTAATCTGAAAATTTAAATATACCAAACAGTATATGTTAGTGTACAAAGATTAAGCACCATAGACTTTTCTAACTAGACTAGGTCTTAGTATTACTCAGTTAGGCTCATTGTTTCTCAAGTGAAGAAAAAGTTCCAGGAAGAACTTCATAATGATTTGTCCAAGGTTATAGTCTGTGAGAGGTAGGATTCAAATTAAGGACTCATGTTTTATATAATGTACTTCACACAGCATATATTGCTATCCAGCCTTTGTAAAGGAATTAGGATCACATTTTTAAAGCATTCTCTCCAGAATATTTAAAAGAGAATTTTGTTTGGAAAATTTAGTTGAAATAGAATGCTCCCAGAACCCACTAACTGTGTAAAGCCATGGCCACATCACAGAATTGTAGAGGGTATCCAATTATGTAGGCAAGATAGAGGGGTTGGGACATGGTACTGGACACATCCACTGGGATAAAAATCTGCATTTGGGGAATTGATGAAATTGCAGGTGCTCTCAAAGGAAGTTCAGGTGGGCAGGCAATTGAAACTTACGACAATCTTTGCTTACAGCTCAAGAAGGTAGTTTGCCAAGGGTTTAGGGGGTATGGCCATAAGACAGAAGTAGAAATGTTTTCAACAGCCAATTAGAGTCCAGCCAGGAGGAGTCTGGGGCAGATGATACTTGGAAATACAGAGAGGAAGCTGGTTCCAGGAGTGTGTCCTCTGTGACTAATCCCAGCCAGAGACTTTGGGCTTGGAATAGTGTTCCACTTCTGGGTCAGAGCCTGGCCAGAGAAAGGCTAGTCCTTACTCCTACGAAGGATCCAGGTTTAATGTAGGCTGCCAGACAGGAATGTGGAAACAGCACTACCACAGGGGCCTTGGGCTTGGGAACAAGGCAGAAACCCAATTAGCACAATCGAGGCACTGCCTCTGGTGAGACTGGAGGGGCGTGTCACTTGGTGCTGAGCAGGGGAGACTGACACTGAGCTAGATTCGGACACCCACTCTGGGCCTGGGATGACCCAGGAACAGGGCTGAACTTCCTGGTGAGCATCGAGAACAGGCACCTGCTGGAGACACAGAGAGAGAGACAAAGCTGGGGCTGGCTCCTGTGAATCCCTTTTCCCATGGACCTTTAGGAGGACTGATGCTAGCATCACTCACCAGCAAACAAGACGTGGCACAAAGGGTGGAGACTTGCCACACTGGATCAGTCAGTGATAATTTGGGAGGGAGAAGGGGCTGAAATTAACAGCTCATGAAATTCAGAGCTTTCATTTGTTCATATTATGTATGTCTTTTCATGCCCTGAGCAAATGGGCACCAGGAAACGTTATTTCCTGGTAGATAACAGACTGGCAAGTGGAAAAGTGGAACTCCTGCCCTCCTGGCATGCAGACCCTCCCCACTTAGTATGCCAGACAAGAGGCCTCTTTGAAGGTTTTTAGCTGTCCCAGAGCTTCTGTTAACTGGGACAAAGCACCTTAAATTAAACATCTAAGTAAAAACTGTGGTTACCACACAAATGCAACTTTAAAACAAGTCCACCAGCTTCCAGCCTGATCACTGTTACAGAAGCGCGTGATGACTGTCCCTGGGCACTCCCCTCTGTGGAAGTCCCTATGAAGCACACCTTTCTTCCCAAGTCTGTCCCGGCATGTCACTGTCCTCCTCCCTATCCTCTCTGCCTTTCCCTGGCACCAGGGCCCTTGCTGTGAGCCGGCTGTGGGTTTTGCTGTTGTTCTGCTCGTTGATGGCTCGCTCACCCTACAGGAGGTGGCAGAGGACAGCCCATGGGCTCCACCGAGGGTGCCTATCTGTCACTTTTCTACTACACAGGCCCTGGGTCCCAGACCTACCAAACTGAGGGGAAACACAGGATCTGTGTTTGGGGCAAGTATGGGTTATGCTGTGCTTGTGCTGCTTTTAAAAATACAAAGGAAAATAAAAAAACAAGGTGGGTCTACTGTCATGGCAAGCTGTCTACGGTAACTGCAAAGTGAAGTTACAGGCGCCCTGTAGAAGATAATCCCATTTTTGTAAAAGCAGAAAATCTATGTATGTGAGTGTAATTGTGATGTATTTGAGGGTACTTAATCAAAGGAGTCCTTGGACTTGGAATTTAAACCTCTGTTCCCTGTTTCCCTATACCACTCACCTGCCAAACCATGCCTCTGAGTCACGGTTTATAATATGGCTCTACCATTTAACAGCAATGAAAAATTTGACAAGTTACTTGTTATCCTAAGCTTCAATTTTTAGCTGTGTTATGGTTTATTCTATGAGATGAGGTAAGGATATGGAAGACAATGTATACATTAAGGCTAGTGTCAAATTATAAGAATATATATTTTTAATTTTTTTATTAAGGGTTTATTGATATATACTCTTATGAAGGTTTCACGTGAAAAAACGTGGTTACTACATTTACGCATATTATAAAGTCCCCACCCATACCCCAATGCAGTCACTGTCCATCAGTGTAGTAAGATGCCACAGATTCATTATTTGCCTTATAAGAATATTTTTAAGGAAAAATAGTCAATATAAAAATGTAAATAAAAAATATTTAGTAGAAGTTGAAGATAACCTGTGCATGGGAATGTTTTCTTCCATATTATGTGTATATCCATATACGTATATATCTTCCATTTTATATATATGTGTGTGTAAACAATATATAAAATATATAAAATGGGAAAAAGTTTTATTAATCTTTCTAAAATAAACACATGTAGAAACTGATATTTTGCTTAAAAGGTGCCAGCCTATTAGGACAGGAACATTCAGAGCAGGCCCTGTTAACCTGGAGGCCTCCCACCCCATGTCTACGGGCATCATTGGCCGCTACCCGCAGGCCAGGGCCCAGACTGTGTGCCTTGCAGCAAAAGTTTCCATGAGTTTTGGCGGAGCAGAGAAGCATCCAAATATCCAAATACCTGGGCAAAATTCCTATGGTAAGGTTAACAAGCTGATAAGAGAAACTCAACTCTGTCCTATAAAATGCAATTTATAAAGGTGCTTATCTTGAGGAATAACAGATTCAGGAAGCACATTTGGTTATCTTCAGATACTAGACTGCTTGCCATGTAGAGGGACGGACTGACACTGATGTGGTGAACAAGGAGTAACAGGTGGAAGCCGCTGCCTAGTGGTTAAGAGTAAGAACTTCAGTCCTCTTGACTGTAGTGGTGATTCGCAGGTATACACCTGACATATTTTACATTTTATATGTGCTCAGTTTACTGTAATCAATTATACTTCAATAAAGCAGACCAGGGAGTGAGCCTTCACGTCAGATAGCTTGGGCTCCAGTCACTGACTTGCCACTTACTATCAGTGTTATCTGTAACAAATTCCTTAACCTCTGACAAATCTCTTGGATTTGATACGAAGCTAGGTGGGATGACCCATATAAAGGGCTTAGGTCAGAGTCAACATATGACGAACATTTGCTATTGTTGCTGGGAACTCTGGCTTCTGTGAAGCAAGCTCTTAACATTGGAAGAAGTAGTTTTCTATAAGACAGGGTAGTTTTGGTCAAGTATTTTGGAATAGGAGTTGGGAAACACATGCAGTTCCTGTCTCTTGTTTTCCCACTATGTGATCTTGAACAAGTCACCTTACTGCTCCAAGCCTCAGTTTCCTCATTTGTAGGATTAAACAGATATTATTTGACCCATCACTGCAATATTGTAAAAGGCTTAGTACTGCTCAGCCCTGAGGTAAGTACTCCATGAATGGCCAATCACAGGACTGTCATGAGTGAGCATAATGTGAGGAGACAGAGGTGAAAGCAACACGACAGTAGTACCTGGGTCCTTAGCTCACAGCCCTGCACAGTGGCCGAGAGGACCAAGTCAGAGCACCTCCTTCCCCTCTAGGTGACACAGATGCAGTTGAGAGTGTGGTTCTCTGGACGTGCAGCGTCCACCTGTGCTCTCTTAGATTGCTCTTTTTGCTGCTTCCCTAAATTCCAGTTTCACTCTGAAATTTACTATCTCAATGATGGTCCTTAAGTTTGGAGCTCCAGGCTTCTCTTTGCTTTGCTCCTTTTAACCCCTCTGACAGAAGAGGTGCTCTCCACCTTTTATGTTCTCCACAATTGAACAGTCCAGGTATCCGGGAAGCAGCTGGCCTGCCATCTGCTCACAATGATCTGTGACTGATCCTGGATGCACAGCACCAAACTTGATCTGCTGGGCCCTCCCAGCACAGGATGTTAGGCATCACAAGAGACTTGCAACCCTTTCCCTCTATCCCTTCAACATGACACACAGGTACAATCACACATGCACACACATGCAGGTAGACACATGCACAACCCCAGCATGAGCCCTGGTCCATCTTCCAAAAGACCCATTAGATTCCAGGGTAACACTGCCCTCACCATTCCTTTCTGCAAGAAATGATAGTACTCACCCCTTTAGCCCAGTCTTTGGGAGGTCTACTGCTAATTTCTTTACTCCTTTTGGCCAAGACCCCATCTCTTACTCCAGACGTCATTCAAAAAGCCTAGTGTTGTGGTTCACAATATTTTCAATTACTATTTAAATATCAGATGACATGTTTATGTTAAGAGTGAAAAAGGAGTTTTCTGGAAGACTATTTGTTAGTATTTATCAAGTAGAATATATTTACAATAATCATACCTAACATTGACTGAATGCTTGCTGTGTACCAAACACTGTTATAAGTTGTTTAACTTATTTCATTTTCCTTTCATCAACTTCATGAAGGAAATACTTTTATTATCACCATTCATCCTATTTCTAGAATTCCTTAGGCTTTATCACAGCAGTTCAAACTGAATACATCCCATATGATGGAAGAACATGAAACATTAGGTAGCAAAATTTTCAAGAATATTTAATAATGTGAAAATGGTAACCAAATATTAAGTGAAAAACAAAATGCAAATTTGTGTATGCAACATGAGCCCAGTATTATCCACGGAAGCATGGTCAATAAAAAAACAAGGAAGAGGAGGAAGGGGGTAGGGCAGGGAGAAGAAGTAGTAGAGGAACAGTAGGAGAAGAAAGAAGAGGGGGAGGAAGAGGAAGAAATAAAGTAGAATCCTAATAGTGGGAGAATTCTTGGCTTTATTTACTTGTCTATATCCTCTGATTTTCCACAAGAAACATGCTTTAATATCATAATTGGAAAAAATATGTCATTAAAAACATTTTTTGCTATAGCATAATTTCTGTAAGTTCTTCCTAAGCTCTACTAGAGCCCAACCAAGTCTCTTGCCCCACTGAAGGCTTCACAATGTTAATCTCTTTGATGGAGCCCATGAACTAGAAGTTAAAATTATTCCCAAAGATAAGGAGTTGGAAATGTAATACAAGTTCATTCCAATTACAAAGAAAAGAACCAAATAAAGAACCAGTGTGACTTACTTGGTGGCAGGAAATGAATGCTCATTAAGGATCCACTGAACTTCCTGAACTGCCCAGAGAAATGGAAATTTAGCTCCCATGCATTAGGCTGTCTTTTCTCCATAAGGCTGTTTCCTTTTTCCAGGATGTATCTTAGTGATGTTTTTGTTTCTTTCCTCCCTGCCAGCCCATGCCTCTCCAACTCTGATTGGCTCTGGTCCTGTTTAAAGCTTATCCAGGGTTCTCCAGATAGACTCCCCATCTTCTGATCTTGCGAGCCAAGACAGGGCCACCCGTCTGAGATCCTAGGTCCACGGTGGCACCCTTAATACAATGGAGGCACCAAGAGCACCAACGCTTTTCTCTGACAGCCAGAGAACTTTGGCAAACAATTGATTCCATGAAAAGGGCTGTTTCTTTCTCTGGGGGGAAGGAGGGGAAATAAAGGAAAATATTTTACCCAAATGCAAGCAACATTGGACATTCCTCTTCCAATTTAGTCATTATTTCCAAGCACACTGAAAGGAGCATGGATTTACAGTCACCCAAAATCTGGACCTGCGACCAAGCTCTATGCTAGCTGTGGGAGCTTGTGCAAGGCTACAAAGACTGCTCATCTACAAACAGGACTAGGAGCTTTACATGGTTGTTGTAAGAACAAAAGTATACAAAATGTGTACCTAAGTGTACATAAACCTAGTGCCATATTCTTGTTTCTAATACCATTTTCCAAGTAAAGGAAGCAGAGCTCCTTGAAAAAACAGCTGACTTCAGAACTAGGGCAGCAAATATACAAGATGAGCCTGGAGCCTCTTATAATACAAGAAAGTAAGGAAGTGATCAACAAAATAAAACAAAACCAAAAGCTGATGGGGATATGTCAAAGGGCATTGGAGCAACTGGGAACGCTCCTAGTGGCCCAAACTAAAACGATCTGGGCAATGAAATTTAAAAATTGGATTTGGATTGTAACTCAAAGTTTAAAATAAATACCCATGAGTCCACATTGACATAAAGGATAGAGTAAATACATAAATGGGGGAGAAGAGATAAATCTCCTACACAGAAAAATCCAAATAACTTATATAGACACTGCCCCTTACATAGGTCTCCACTCCTTCTGTGGGGTTGCTCGCAGTGACTTCCTTCCCAAGGGAACAGTACAGAAAGGAGAGAAAGGAGTGACACTGACAAACACCACCCCAGCCAGGTGGTCCAGGTCAGTATCAACAGTGATATGGCATATCGATAGTATGTACCCTTCACAGGATGACAAGAATGGCCCTCAATGTCTGTGATGTTCTGCCCCAAAACTCATAATTCCAGCATAATAATGAGAAAATATTAGACAAATCCCAATAGAAGGATATTCTACAAAATACCTGACCACTGTTCTCAAAACTGTCAAGATCATCAGAAATAAAGTTTAAGAAACTGTCACTGCCAGGAGGCACTTAAGAAAACATGATAACTAAATGTAATGCGGTATCCTGGAACAAATAAAGAACATGAGGTTAAAACTAAGAAAATCTGAATAAATTATAGACTTTAGTTAATGGTAATGTGTCAATATTGGTTCATTGGCTGTGATAAAAGGTACCATAATAATGCAAAATGTTAACAATTAGGGGAAACTGGCTTTGAAGCATATGGGATCTCTGTACTATTTTCATATTTTTTTCCTATAAAATCTAAAACTATTCTAAAATAGTTTATTCCTAAAAAAGTAATGTGAATACAATGCGTTTGTCACAGTAATTGGGGGCTGTTAAATTTACAGCATCCTTGCCTTTGTTAATTACCTTGTTAAAATAAATGAAACCACCTTGATGGCAATGTCAGAGTTTAGATGTAGATTAATGTTATACACTGCCTTGAACTTCACACGCACGCACATCCCCGCCCACCACCACCAAAAACAAAAAAAACAAAATACCCTTGGTTTAGTGAGATTACTCTGCCCCCTAGTGGCTTCATATTTAATATACATTTAGTGGCAAAGGACAGCCTTCATTCTCTGGTCACTTTTGATATTTCAAAGTCTAGACAAGACACAGATATACTCAGAGTCTTTGATCTACTGGGACCATACTTTACGTGGTTCTTAAACAATGAACTTTACCATTCTTAGTGGCCCAGAAGAAAGACACATCCAAGTGAGGGAACTGGCTGGTGGGAGTATAAACCACATGACAACGTGTGTGTGTGTGCTGAGGTGTGTTAAGAGGGTGGGGGCAGTTTGACAATGTGAGTGGGAAATCTTAAAAACATTTACACAACTTCACCTAGCAATTTCACTTTTGCAAATTATTCCCCTGAAATAATGCTATTACTGAAAAAGATTTAAAATGTAAAAAAATAAATAAAAGAATGTTACTTGTAACAGTGACAAATTAGAAACAAAGTGTTTAGTGATTAGGGAATTGTGGAGGGAAGGAAGGGAAACGAAGAGGGGAGAACACGGAGTGAAGGAAGAAGGAAAACTATATCCATATAATGGACTATTATACAGTTAATGAAGGCATGCCTAAGAATATTTAATGATATTGTTAAACTGCCCATGATCTAATGTTTGGTAAAACTCTAAACCGTGTCATCAAAACGTTAGGGAGTAACATAGATGGCCCTATATATACATACACACATAAAGTGATACATATTTCTTAGGTCACATTTTATAGAAAATATAACTTTCTTATATCTTGACTTGATTTTTGTTTTAATCCTTCATCTTGCCTGATGCCAGAAAATAAATCCAGTCAACTATGAGGTAGCTCGTTACCCCAGGGTATATCCAACCACTTTATGTTTAAATAGTCAGAAATTTAATAGTTTAAATTTCCCCCTTCCCTCTTCCTTCCATTAGATTGGCATCTATGTTCACTGAATTTTGCTATCACAGAGAGAGGAAAGGCTGGTCTTTGGCCATCTTCTGCCTGTTATTAGCACAGCTGAGCCACCACTGCCTTTGTTGTCTGGTCATTGGCATTTAATAGGCTTGCCTCCACTGTGACATCTGTGGCTTCACCACAATTATTATCTCAGCCTTCTCTCAGTCTTTCTCCACACCTCTGGGGCAAATGAAATTCTAGGCACTTTCCCAAGTCTCCTGAGCCTAAGGCAGTGTGGGGTGTGGTCTTGCTGATCTTGTATTGCCTTACCCTTTCTTCTCCACTATTGCTGGGGCATCTTAGCACAAGGACTTCTCGGTCAACATCACTGCCCCCTCAGATTTCCCCGGGAATCAGGACACAGTTCTCTGCCTGAGGTCCCAAACCCCAATATTCGAGGACTTCTATCATTCCATAAAGCATGGAGTTGTCTCTGAGACCTACACCAACACTGAACCCAGTCATGCTTCCCCAATTTCTCCTTCCTCAGCTGTGATATTTGTACCAAATCCATGGCTCTTTTTCTAGTTCTCTAATCCATCAAAACCTAAGACCTCAAGTCTAAGTCTGATGCTGTAATGGGATGATACTTGGAGTGTCCTGGGAGGGGAAGAGGGTAATTTGCATAAAGGAGTCACATCAAAGTTTGTGGCCAGACAGTATAATAAAGATGACCATGCATTTACTTGACTCTGATAAACTCTGTGCCCACTCTGACCAATACGGCAGAAGTGACACTAAAGGCTCAGGCCTGAAAAGACTGGTGCCTTCCATTTCCTGTCACAAATATCCCTCTCTAGGAGCCCCGAGTCATGTTGTAAAAAGTGAACGAGTCTGAGAACACTGCTCTGTGAGGTGCCAAGCCAACCAGGCGGATATGCCATTTGAAGAGACAGATGATGAAATGGTTGTTGTTTTGAGTCACTAAATTTGGGTAGTTGTTATTCTGAATTAGATCATTAGAAGAGTATCTTTCCTACAAAGGGAGGTTAATACTACTGTAGCTATATAGATGTTTTAGTGAGAATTACATAATTAAATTTTAATTTTCTTCATAATAGGCTCCAGAATTACTATGGGGGAAGGGCCTTTTTGTTTAGGAGAATACCTTGACATGCCGATTAGAAGTAAAAGAAGAGACCCTAAGGGGATGAGTGGGCACAGAGAAAGAGACACAACTAAACCACTTGAGGGAATTGGGAATGGACAGGAATTTGGAAGGAGGGAAGAGCAAACTAAGGAAGAGAAACAGAGGAGGGGCAAGCAAGGGCTGGAGGCTGGGGGCCAAGTTGCAGAAATGACTGAGAGACTTTAAAAAAAAATCAGTCTAACAAATATGATTTGGTTTCATATTTATAATGAAAATCTCTTCATTCCCCAAAACTTCCATCAAATTTGCTAGCAATAGAGATACCTTTTGTGACTTGAAAAAATTGGGGGGATAAGAGAGGTGAAAAAGATGGAGGCATGAGAAGTGATGCAGACACCTCCTCCCAAAACCACATGTAACACAAAAATACAGCAAATACAACTAATCCACAAAAAGCAACCCGAAGACTATAGAACAGACTGCCTACATCTGAAGAAAAGAAAAGACCTCACAGACAAGGGTAAAGTAGCAAAGCTGTGATCTGGCAGGACCCAAGCCCTCCTCACACTCCAGCTCGCAGGTGAGAGGAAGAGAAATGGGGCGGGGCAGGGAGGAGTAGCCCAGGACTGCTAAAGACCCAGCCCTGGAGATCAGCCATGGACCCACATTACATGGTGCTCTAGAGATTAGTGCAGTTGGAAAGCAAAGACAGGCAGAATATTCAGAGACCAAGATTCCGGCTGCTTGTGGAGAACAGGTACCCACAACCTGCTGTTCCAGGACAAAGAAAGGCAGGCACTTTAAAAGACTTCCCAACAGCAAGAGGGCTGCTAAAGGGGCAAAGATTACACAGAGCTTGCTGCTCAGGAGAAAGGAGAGGTAGACAAAATCATCAGAGCACGCTCAGCCCAACAGGTTGGGAACTTTCAGAAGCTTCAGATGCTCCATTCCCCCTGTCTGGCTAGGCAGGGCTGAGGCCCCTCATTGTGATAAGCAGCCTGCTGCTCCTTCCTCTCATTAGGCACTGGTTCGCTGCCCCAGACATCTGCCATCATGCCAGGCCAGCTGGAGGGTGGCCCCGCCTACAGCAGCTACAGGGGTGTAATGCAGAGGCTCCTCCCTGCATGCTCGGCCCACTGGACCTGGCATAGGAGGCAGGCACTGTAGCCAGGAAGCAGGAAAGAGCTCTTTCCTCCCGGCAGGCACTAATGCTATGTGCTTGCAGACCCTACCATTGCTCTAGGTGCTCAGCAGCTCCTGAGAGTGCTTCTGGGGGCACAAGAGGGTACCACCTACACAAAGTTATTATTCTGTAGGAATCACTAGAATATGAGAGGGCAAAAAAATTTTGTACAAAAATCCAACAGACACCAGAAAGAGGGCTAAGTGAAACTGAAATCACCAATCTTGATAGAGATTTCCAAATGAAAATCATTAAATA